ATAATTAACCGATACTTCACAATATACTCTTAAGAAATTGCGCAAATTTACAGCAGCAGCAATAACGATGAATGAAGAAAGCGCACCGACATATATATATTAGTATGAAAATAGAAATAAAATCAACTTATTATGAATACAACAATTGCAAATGCTTCTCCGTTTTGGACAGACCAAATATGCACTTTTCATAGCGAGACCATTTAAAAAAGCATTTTAAGCTGCTGGTTGGTTGTTCTATCGAATTTGGGATAGCAGATCGATAGTGAGAATAAATTTGATCGGATGCAAAACGCCGACTGACTTCTAATGAAATATTGACGAGCAATGGAGACTAATAGCGTTGTGGAAATTAAATCCGTTCCCAACGAACACAAACGCATTACATTGCATTTGATGGAATTGATTTATTTATTCGCACAAACTAAAATGTAATAAGGCAGAGCATAATGTGATGGCATGAAATCGAATCTGCTACGCTCCTTATTCCATTAAAGCCGATCCCAATTATCCTCGTCGTTCTCCTTCCTTTAATCATGATGCAACGAAGTNAACAATTTCATTATAAATCCTACGTACCTGCTTATACAATCGCAAAGTATCATTAATAGCAACTAAACATGATCGAAGAGAAGAAAACGTTCCCATGAGAAAACGACTTTTATTCTGTTCCAAGCAGTCATTCATGACTCTGAGCTACTTTTCACTAAAAAAAGTGTGATGAGATTCTATATCAACGAAATTCTTCTCCTGTGCCATAGTGACAGTGAGGTAATACAAACAAGAATTTGAATAAATTGCAGCACGAAAATGATCAAATTGCAATGGTTGTAAATGGATAAACGATTGCTGAATGCATCCTATTTATAAGCGATAAATAAACATTCCGAAACGATCGATCTCATTCAGAGACCATTCAACATCCGACAAATGGTCCAATAGAACTCATCCACCTAAGCAACCAGCGTTTTTCTTTGTTCAAAAACCGGCTCCATTTCAGCAGCTCTTCCCTCATTTCGTTCAATCGAACTCATCAACAGCTGCCTGTTGATGCTACATGCCATCCTAAATACCTAGTTCTCTCTACACGGATCATCATTTTTAAATTACACTTAGTACACTTTCGTACATACGAAAACACCTATCTCACTTTTACGCATCAGATTTAATCTCTTTACAATTTCGTCTATCATCAGCAAAATAGTTCACCTGAATTTTCTAGAATTTAGCATCACTCAAGTATCGCTAGAATTGCACTGTTGTATAGAATTGATCGGAGCATGAATTCCCAGGTTCAATGACCCTCATCATGTGATTGAATAGTAGGAAGAACAGTACAATGGGATGAGATCTGATGGATCTTAACATCGTAAG